AGAATCACAAATTTCTTTAGTAGTGGCCTCCGATAATTTTTTTTAATTGCTTCTCTCTCATAATTATTAGAAAAACAACAAAAAAAATCATTATTAGTAAAAGACAGATCGTTACGCAACTGTTATCATTAATAGCAACATTATTTTCAAACTGTACACAGTTGAAACTGTGTACAGTTTGAAAATAATTATTTAACAGCCAGTTATATGCTACGATAAATAATAATTAAATAATTATTTAACAGTGAGTTACGTGCCATGATACCCATTTAGGCGATCATGTATCTTCCGATACATGACTGACGAAACACTAGACTAGTTACTAGTTCAAGCCTATAGAACCCAGTCTGTCCTGCTATTTACCGACAGTTTGAGAGAAGAAGAGGATTCATACCTTTCCCAAGGGTAATTGCACGTAAGTGAATGTAATGGATTCGGCTAGAATTCGAACTCGGCTCTCCGATTTCTCAATCCGAGCCGCTATCCGAGCCGCCAAACAGTTATATTTATCATTAGTTACGTAATTTCTAAATAATGCGATTAGCACTAAAGCCTTAACACTCATAATTATTGGGTGCAATGAAGCCATTATTAAACTTCTTAAAGTTTCTTTCGAAGTATCAAAACTAGTATTACGGTTACAATAAGATATCTGGAATTATATATATATATATATATATATATATATATATATATATATATATATATATATATATATATATATATATATATATATATATATAAAAACAAAGAGGTTGTAGTGGTTCCAACGAGAGAAAAGTATGTATATTAAAAAGAAGAGAAGAGAGGTGCCGCAAACGTTTTTGGTTGTAATGTCTCTTCTTTTATATATATATATATATATAGGGTGTCCATAAAGTTCGTGTGTACTTTAAAAAAATTATAACTTTATTTGTATTTGCGATAGAAATAATCTGTAAAAAATGTTATAAAGTTTAATGTACCTAGTTTTAAGTATAGCTAAAATAACTAATGAGATTTCAGGCATTACTGTAAATCAGTTGGCAAATGTTTTCCGTGAACTGCAAAATCGTATTACCCTTTGTATTGCTAATGATGGAGGACATGTGGAAACTTCAATAAGATTTCAATAGAACCTTAAAAAAATGTAGATTTACTTCTTACTAATCCTTTTTACAAATTATTTCTATCGCAAATACAAATAAAGTTATAAATTTTTTTAAAGTGCACACGAACTTTATGGACACCCTGTATATAAACGTCTCCGTAAACTTAACTAAATATTTTTTAAAAAATCTTCCATTACAAATTTTAACCAACAAAGCGTCTCTATCTCGTCCTTTTCCTGCAGAGTATATATTCCCGCCCTCATCTCTCTCACTGTCAACTTTTTGCAACTATAACAGTTCAATAACAGACCTCACTACAGCCGCCATTTAGCAGAATGTTCTTAAAACTCAACAGTAACTACTTCCTTGCAGTGCCAAGAATGACTCTTTACAGTACCTTTGCAAAACCATCCCGATTGTAACCACTTCCAAACAGCAAAAACCGTTGCCAACCTCGTCCCACTGCCCGTGGGATTATAGGGGTTGCAAATAAAGAGAAAGGGAGAAAGGAAGAGGAGGAGTGTAACAGAGTAAGGAGGGGGAGAAAAACGGAAAAACATACGTACGCACGCACACTGGGCTTCTGGTCACTCGACAAATGTATGTCGTATCGACTTGACGGCGTCTGTAATTTCAGCCCCTCCAAGTTTTCTCATTCTTCGGCGTAACACAAAAGTGAAATACTCCACAAAAAGAACATATACGAAATATGTAATTTGCAAAGAAACGAAACAAGGAAGAATTTTGGAAAAGAAGGAGAAAAAGAAAAGAAAGAAAGGAAGGAAGAAGCATGAAAAAATAATAAAAAGAATTTACCGACATTGGATAAAAACAATCCCCGTGTGAAAAAAAAATATATTCGGTTCTGAAACTTTTATTTTATTTTATTTTATTTTATTTTAGCTGTACTTTCGTGAGATTTAATCTGTTTTGGAGTTTTTCTTAACAAAAAAAACAAAAAAAAAAAAAATACTGTTTTCGTCTTTTTCTTTAAGAAAAAGATAAAAGCACAAAAATGATTCAAGAAAGCAGACGATAACTGTCACAGGAACAGAAAATAATTTATAATTGACAAAAAAAAACATTTTTCTAAATACTTGAAAAAGTTTTAAACTTGCTTCGAAGGATTTTGTCATGTTTGGGATTCTTTGATGAAAGCGAAAATTTAGATTTTTTAAAATTTCTTATGTGAAAGCAACAACAAAAAAAAGGTTAACTACAAAAGGATTTACACCACATCATCAGGATCAAGACAATTTACTATTGATAAAGTTTTTTTTTAAAAAAAATTCATTAAAAAAAAAAGAAAAGGAAAAAATAAAATCGTCCGGACATACAATCTTCGGATATTTAATCTTCTCGGACCTTTTGTCGTTTATGGAAATTTATACTTCAGTGTATGTAAAAAGTTGAATTTTGCGTCTGAATATTCAGTCAATCATTTACGTTTTTAGACTTCTGCCTCGAGGGATGAAAATATAAAACTAAAAAAAAAAAAAAAAAAAAAAATTACATTTGGGAGCTAAACAAAAAAATAACCCGCAAAAGACAGATTCAGCAAACATTTAATTAAAAAGAAATCCATTGAAGAGAATATAATTTCATACATACATACACACACACATATATATATATATATATATATATATAGATATATAGATATATATTTAAATATATATATATACATTTAACAAAAATCAATGCGTCCACACATATTACATACTAACAAATGTTAATTAATTAGTTGAAAACAGATATAAAAATTATAAGTCCATAAAAAAACAAAAAAAAAAAAAGAAAAAGATTACGATAATTTCAAACTTTTTATTTGTCAATTCTCTTTGGATTATTTGTTATCTATTATTAACGTTTGATCTTGTCAGGTAAGTTTGCTAACGAGTTTGCTGTTGAAATCATTTAAAAAATATCAAAAATAGAAACTGTTAAAACACTGCTGAAAATTTTACACGCAGCAGATTATTGAACTGTTTAATGAAATATTTTGAAAATATTTTGCACTCTTGGATTGGAAATGTAAACTTTACATAAAATTTGGCCACAAGACAACCCATAACAAAAAAGGAAATATACAAAGAAAGACATATCACTACACAAACCATATAAAAAAGCTACCCAGACGAATGACTATATTTACATATTTATATGGATGTCTATACATATAAGAGTGTATGTGCGCGTTCAGTCAGTAAAAAAGTTATTTCAGGTTTGAGAATTAATTTAATTTTTTTAATAACGACCCATTTTCTGTACAATAGATAAACTGACGAAAAAATAAATAATTTAAAACGATCTGCATATATTTCCTGAAAAATGGACCTACAATCCGAAAGAAGTAAAAACAAAATGCCTGTGTCTTTAATATCTGCTCACAAAGTTATGGATGATGAAGAGATCAAAGTTGATAATCACGATAACTACGAGATGGACAGCGGGGATGAAGAGGTCCCCAAAAGCCGCCAGGGTTCAGACCTCAGCGACAACCAAAGTGAAGGAGAGGAGAAGACAGTAAGACCAACGCTGACCCCTGCGTCTTCTCAAATATATAGCAGATCCCCAACTTCACCCTCACCACTGACTGGCCACGTACACTCCCCTTTGACCCCACATGCGCATCATCTACATTTGAACAATCATTTAAATCTCCAATTACATAATAATAATAATAATAATAATAATAATAATGGCCATCGCCAACACCCCCACATCTACCCGGCTATGTCACCACCGCGCACTAGCCAACACCATCGACACCATCATCACCATCACCACCACCACCACCACCTGCTGCCGCACCACCATTCGTCCAATAGTAATAACAATAATAATTCACCCCAACATAGCCCTAGCCATGACAATAGCAGTAGTAGCAACAACATGAGTAGTCACTCTCCGCCGCCGATGTCTGCACAACCTCTGGCGTTATCTCTTTCGCCGCCCACGTCGCATCTCCATAACAACCACAACAACAGTAATAGCCACCACCACCATAGCCACCACCATCACAACAACAGTAACGACTCCTCCTCTTCCGTCTCCTCCTCCTCCTCTTCCGCCTCCTCCTCCTCCTCCTCCTCCCGGCTCCGCCAGTCGCACCTACTGGAAGCTGATGTTGAAGAGAATAGCAGCGACGAAAACATGTCGACGACGTGCAGCAAAGCTGGAGACGACGTCCTTGATGTTGACGTCGACGTCGACGTTGGTGGCGGGGGAGACTTTCTGAAACTTGGCGCTGGCCGCACCAGCGCTCTCTGCAACACTAACAACAACATTAACAATAACAACAACAACAACAACAACAACCCTAGCCACCACCCTCTCAGCAACAGCAACAACCACCCGAATGGCATGACCATCGGCTCTCTGGTCCCGAACGTCATTGGCGGCGTCGGATCCATAATCCATAGCGGCGGTGGAAGCGGTGGCGGCGGTGGTCCTAATGTTGGTAACGGTGTCAATGAAAGCGCCGGTGTCGGTTCCAACTACGAGGATCGTCTTTTGGTACCGAAGAGCAAGACGCAAAGCAAGAAGAAGAACGGTGAACAAAAGATTATTCGCTTGAATATCAACGCCAGGGAGCGAAGGAGGATGCACGATCTGAACGACGCATTGGACGAGCTACGAGCCGTTATTCCCTACGCACATTCTCCATCGGTCCGTAAGCTCTCCAAAATCGCCACCCTCTTGCTGGCTAAGAACTACATCTTGATGCAGGCCAACGCCCTGGAAGAAATGCGAAGAATGATCGCCTACATGAATCAGACAGCGCCGACCCCAACTTGCCTGGACGCTTATGCCGCCTTTGGGCGGTTGCCCACCGACATGAGCCCCGCTGAGAAATGTACGTCTGTGTACACGCGGTCTGCCCATCACAAGAAGTCTGGTGGGTGAAAACCGCGGCCTTTGCAATGCTTTGGCTTTTTTTCTTTACCCGTTTTATTTGTGCACTTGTTTTATTTGTTGTCCATTTTGTTTTCTTTTAGCTATCAACTTCAGTAAAAAAAAAAAATGCATATATAGTAATGGTAATATTAGCCTTTTCCCTATAAGGAAACATTCAGCATTCATTCACTGACCTATACCAGTTATGCTTTTCTACGCTTCCTGGCTATCAGGCTGAAACCTGCCGCAGTACCTTTCTCATCGCACTAAAGAGGTTGGGTATGTGTTCCACTCGAACAGTTTCTTCCTGCAGACCACTGATCTGTGGAACCGGCTCCGAAGATGTCGTTTCTCCTACAATCTTAACCTGTTCATGTCTAGGGTCAACCGCCTCTCCTTCTCCTATTCGTATAAAGTACCTTTTAACGTAACCAGCGTGACAGCAGTCGCCGGGCCTGAGCAAAAAACAATTTTTTGTCCTTGACCCATATGCATAAGTATTCATGTGGAGCTCCTCATTTTAAAACGACTTTGTGTCACATCCAACCTTTAGGCAGAGGCCGGGTAAATATACCTGGCCATCAGGCTGAGATCAAAGTGCAGTATCTGCATTCGGGCGGACACAACTACATTTGATCTGTCAATTGTGTTTCTGTCTTTGAACAGAACACACAAAAATATCATTGAAGTGTGCCTCGTCACAGGGATTCCAATCCCGCGGTAGCACCTCTCTCATTGCACCAAAGAGGTTCCCCACTTTAAAACGACCTTGTGCCATAACCCGCCATCTTGGTAAATAATAAGTATAGTATCTGTTCTCCTCATCTCTAATAATACTGTTCATATTAACCGTTTCCTTATGTGGAAACATCAGCATTTATTGACCGAGTAACCAATGCTACTGTCAGTTCATTAAATGTTATCGGTATTTACACTATTGAGGGGGTTTCCTTCCCAAACTTTTGTTCGATGTACTGTGGAATGTCAACATCAGCGATTATGCCATTATTTTCTCTTCACTTTACATTTGCCATCCAATTTAGTTGTGTTTGCTTGTTGTTAAAAACCTCAAGTGTTGTGGCTTCTCTTATTTGGTACAGTTCTTTGCTTGTGAATCTGTAGCGCCAGTCCATGATGTTCAAAGAAGGATGGTCCTCACTAAGACCTACAGGCTTCATCCGCTCGAAGCCCTCACTTTCCAGTTCAAAAGCGTCTCCGAGTTCTTTGGGGTTACGAATTGTTTTCCACTTTCCAATCTCTCTCTCTCTCTCTCTCTCTCTCTCTCACAAGCGAGATTTGAAAAGCCTCACGCTGCTCTATAGGTACTTCCACTCAGACAATCTACATTCCTTGCTTCCGCCATGTTTAACTTTCACAACTAGGACCCGCCATACAACTATTATTCTAGCAAATCACTCACATTCCCGCCGTATTCCATTTGTAAGTCAGTTCTACTCGAAGTTTCTTCCCGCGGACCACTGATCTGTGGAACCGACTCCGAAGATGTCGTTTCTCCTACAATCTTAACCTGTTCATGTCTAGGTTTAACCGCCTCTCCCTCTCCTATTCGTACCTTTAAACATAACCTTCAGCCGCAAATGGACCCGGGTCTTGTACAGGGTGAACCTTACTGTAAATAAAAGCAAAAGAAAAAAGTCATTATTAAACATTGATTTGATAAAGCTAACGTATACAGCTGACAATTTAGATATCTCTAAACAAACATGGCGCGATGCATGGCATCCAGATGAATGTCTCTGGGCACTTCGTCGTCGTGTAAGGGTTAGTATGCTTGTGGATTAATTACGACTGAATAGTGAGTTCGATCCTCACTTTGCGCCTTGTGTCACATCTAAGCTAGGCTTAGGAAGTCCCCATACGAAAGTCTGGACCTATTTAAACATAACACTCGAGTTTTTAGGTTAATGTTTTGTTTTTTATCACAATTTGCTGTGTTTGGCAAAATTTGCCCCAAGTACATCTTATTCTATGTCCAGTTTCCCTAATCTCCTATACTAAATTTGTTATAACCAATCAATACACTGAGGTATTTGAAGTGTTTTTTTTCTAATTTCACCACGCTGAAAACACCGGTGCTCCTTCGATCACGGAATTTCAACAGTGGTGAGCCTTGTTAGTACTTAGATGGAGAACCACTTGGGGACAACCTCTTAAAATCAGAAATATGTTTCGGCATTTAATAACCCACAAAGGGTTGGCAAACCGTAAAAACAAATCACTCAATGTTAATTTTACAACCTTAATTATAAATTTAAAAACAAAATCCCTCGCTATCTACTGTCCTCCTGATTACTCTCCCAGTTCTCTCGCTCCTTAGCATTGTTTCCCTGATTACTCTTAGATTGTTATCACTCCTTAGTAATATTTCTATTTTCTTGGTCTTTTACACCCGTTAACACCTTGTGTCTTAGTGGCTTTAGTGCCTTGCTTGGGGTGATCGCGATTAAAAAATAAATAAATGTCGTACCCTTTCAGCAGGTAGACATCTGTAAACTGCCATAACGTTTTCGGTAACATAGTGGAGTATCTGTTATTCTTCTCTTAGACAGAACGCCAACCGAGTCTAGCTGTCGTGATACAGTCTTTGACTGGAAGCGACGACTGTCAAACTCTCTGCATTAGCAGAGAGGAACCAGGACGAAGCTTTGCCGAAGGGCAAGGTTTCGTTCGGGGAGGTAGACAGGGCCTGAATCCGTCAATTCGGTTCTAAAGAGGCTATATTTTTGGCCGAGCCTACGGGCTCGGGGATACCCACACTAAACCGGCCTTGTGCCATATTCAATCCTTGTGGGTGGGTTGATAAATAGCGAACGCCAACCAAGGTTAGAGAGCCCAGTCTATACTGTTATTTAACATATAACTGAGTGGGAGGGGAGAGACAGTTTCATGCCTTTCTCATGAGTATTAGTCAAATATTAAAGGTCGAGTTTGGAATTTCAATTTGCCTTGCCTATTTCTCTTCCCGCGAAGTTTTTACGGCCGTGTCACGTTGAAACATCGGTTCTCGCACGACAACTGGAGTTAAGCAACGTCGAACCTGGTCATTATCTAGACGGGCGACCGCTTGGGGATGCCATGTGTTGTAAGTTTCATTTCCAGTCTGGTTTCGTTATATTAGCTTAAACGCAAATATTCTTGGGAAAACGTATGGATCCTCCTCTTCTCCTCTCTCTCTGAGCTATTTCACAGGACTTTTATCAGTAAATCTTTTTCAGCTCCATAAAAATTCTTACAAGCTAAAAATATTTTCTGGCTTTAAATAACATGCAAAAGGTTGATAAGCCGTAAAAAAAAAAACCCAAATCTATCATGAACGTTTCTGCAAATATCATCGTAACACTATGCAACTTCCAGAATTTATAATATTATTGCAATTATAACTTTGTCCTTCGTTTTCATTTTTTTTATCTCTCTCTGTCGGAGATCTGTTAAATTGGAATGGTTTCGCTTCTTCGAAAAATTTCAATTGTCCTCATTGTAATTGTTTTGTATCTTTTCTAACTTATGTTTGAAGTCTTTGAGAAAGTTTCGAAACTGTTTTCTGACTTCTATATATTATGGGTATTTACTAAAAATAGGTATTTGAATAAAAAATTTAATAAAATCCTATATAACACGTTTATTTTCTTCGAGATTAAGTCATTTGTTTTTTTTTACGTCTTATCAACCCTTTTCAAGGTTATTTAAAGCCAGAAAATATTTTTTTAGATTGTAAGGCTTTTCTTTTTAGATAATGATGACTTACTGATCCAAGTCCTTCTAATTAGTCCGTATATGGTGACACTGAGAACAGAAGAGGTGGATTCATACCTTTTCCAAGGATATTTTGTGCGTAAGTGAATATGACGAACCCGACTGGACTTGGAACAAGGCTCTCTAATTTCCACTTAACTCGTATGAGAATTCGTCCTTCGAGAGGACTTCTCCAGGGTAAATATACGAGGAAATGTGGACAAACGTCGGGTATAATTATACATCCAACGAAGCGGTGAAGAGGCATGAATGGTTAACTTTAAATTTTTTTTTTATCTTTCTGGAGTTTGATGTGTCTAGATGTACAGCCTAGCCGATCTCATCCAGTTTCCTACCACGCTTAGTGTTTGTCTTGGCTTGATTTTCTTTTTCTTCTTTTTTTTTTTTAATATACCACAACAGAAGATTTGCTTAAAAAAAAGACGAAATATTGTAAGAAACGGGCACGCAAACTTAAGATGGAAAACTCAGAAATTAGTACACTTTCTATACGTTTATATAGCTTATACTTGCAAAAGATAACACTGGTTGTTTGATCAAATATACTATACTAGTAAATTAGTTCAATTAAAAAAAATAAATGTCGTACCCTTTCAGCAGGTAGGCATCTGTAAACTGCCATAACGTTTTCGGTAACATAGTGGAGTAGCTGTTATTCTTCTCTTAGACAGAAAGCCAACCAAGGCTAGAGAGCCCAGACTATACTGTTATTTAACATATAACTGAGTGGAAGAGGAGAGACAGTTCTATGCATTTCTCATGAGTAATATTCGAGAGTTAAAGGTCGAGTTTGGAATTTTAATTTGCCTTGCCTATTTTTCTTTCCACGATGTTTTTACGGCCGTATCACGTTGAAAGCTTACTATCTACAGTGCCATGACAGTCGCTCATTTTTATTCACTTTGAAAATGACAACAAATTTTAAAAGCTGGTTTCTTCCTTTTTATTTATTTATTTATTTATTTTACTTCTCTCGGGTACTTTTTTTTTTTTTTTGAAGGTTTGTATTTACCGTCTTCCCACATTGTAAGATATAACAAAATATCTGGTTTAATGCAAAGACATCTACATACATAGGGGTATAGGTAACATTTGTATAGTACCACTTGCTTTTCCCACAACTGTTAGAGAATGCATACGACAATAACCCTTTAGTGCAAAGGAAGGGTGTTGTTTAGAGAGTGATTCCCATTGAACCAAATACGTTTCATTTATGCTGTATTATGCTCGAAAAA